TTATGATGATTAATAAACTGAAGTTATACAGCATTATAACGCTTAGAGTATTACAATGATAATATGTCTACTTCAAGAAAATGAGTCAATGGAACAAACTGGACTCATATCGCCTGTATTTTAAATACTGCACACGTTTAATTTCACTCAAAACAGATGAGTTCCTTCAACAATTCATATTTGAGTTTAATTAATGTTACCTTACTTCTTTTATTCAGATGTGTTTTAAAAGTGCACTCTGGAAACTAATAAATGAATACAAGATAATACCAAACTATAATAAGTGTATATCTGTTCATTACTCAGGTAAATGTTTCTTCCTAGAGGTCTTTGCCACTCAGAGGCTCTGTGGGAGTTTTCTCAGAATGTTTGTGAGTACGGTCCTCAGATGTTCAGCAGGTTATGTTTACTATGATCAAATTAGTTTACCGTGTTAGCATGCTAATTAGCCTCCCTCTGGGAAGTTGCGATCACAACAATTAACACAAATTCAGCCAATCTCCATCATATTATAAGATCATCATATGTTTGTAGTGTGGCTGCATTTTCCAGCTAATCCAGGGTTTGTATTTAATAGTTTATTTAGCTTTCTTTATGTACAAATGAAGCATATTTTTGTAATCCTGAACTGAACACTCAAAACAATGCGATTTTATTCTGACTGGAACAAGTTGTCTTCAATTTTTAATGAATTATACAAAAAATAAGCAAATTATTTTGTCCCACAATTTCATTCCATGAAAAATGCCTAAAAACATCACAACATGCATTTTTTTTAGAAAAGCTGCTATGAAATTGGGCATTTTAGGCAGCAACAATCCCAAAAACAGTGAGAGAACTCCTGCAGCGACTGATAGCAGAAAACACAAAGTACTGAGGCTGCATCTTATCAAGCAATCCTGTGGGAGATATTTCAGTCCCTAAACACAACGTAGATGCCACGTTAGTCCAGTTGTAATTTCTCTATTTTGGCTCCCGGTAATGTTTTGTTTGGGAGTGATATAACTATACAAGGCTTTACACAGTCTGGGCTCTAAAGAGTTGTTGACCTCTGACCTCTGCAATGCAAAAAGGATCTCAAGAACGTAAAAAAGTCTGGTTTCTGGGAAATTGAATTTAATGGCACAAATAAAGTTGACTAAAGTGTGAATATTTGGAATATCTATATTTTTTGACAGTTTTGAAGTATTTTATGTTGTTTTTTACCTTTTTTGCACCAAACAAATATAAAAATAATAACCTTGGTGAAGGAGCTGTGGTTGTCCCTGCTAACCTGAAGCCCTTGAGCCTCTTTATAAGTCCTCCTCCCTCCCAACCGGAGGAGCTCTCTTTAGGCCTGAGTGGCTCTGTGAATATCTTTACCAGGATCTGGTCTAAGGGGAAATTCTTACATCACACTTCCAAGAATTTGGTCACCGGGAGCAACTCCTTGTACTCAGCTATATGATAGCATGTTAGCATTTAGCTCTCAGTGTCTACAGCCTCACAGAGCTGCTATAGACTTTATAAGTAAATGTTTTGGCTCAACAAAAAAAATGAATGCAACAGTTTGAATCAATCTTTTTTAATATTGGCAACAAATGTGCTACATTGAGTTAGCTTGTTCCAACTCATTTCCCCACGTTATTACACAGCTCATCAGAATAATGTTTGCAACTTAAAAGGTTTATCTGAATCAGTAAATTGGAAGTTTATTTAAGTGGTGACAATACTGCCCTCTACAGGCTAACTGCAGCAACTGCGCTAACAATGAAAGTGAGAAAGTGTAAAGGTTTTTTTAACTGGCCAATTAAATGTGTTACAGGGAGAACAGCAGTCGTGTGCTTGTTAAATATGTATTCTCATTTTCATGGCTTTAAAATCATGACTAATGATTTGACCTCTGACCTCTGTTTGTATTAGCATAAACAGATATACAGGTAGTGTAAAGTGTCTTTACAGAAAATCTAACCCCAATTTTCTTTCTTATTACCTTAAACCTGTTTGTGTAAACAGTTAATTAAGTAATTAAGAAGAAAATCAGGCGATCTTTAAATAATATTCTGACATGTTTAACCTATTAAGATGACTTGACATATTTTTTTTACATACATACATATTTCAGAATCAATGAATTCTCAGTTATTAAATGTTAAAATTGTTGTAATGTTACATAAATTATGACTAAGCTGCATAGTGTGCATTGTGACAACTGATGGTTGTACGATCTTAGAGTGTGCAACGCGCAGACAACGATAATCAGAGGAAGATAAAAGAAAACGTTTGTTGTAAACTTATTAGCATTGTCATTATTTCCTCTTCAGTATGTTCCTGTTCCTTGTTGACCAGCGCTGATCATTACACACTGTTCCTGCTCTGCTGCTTCTCCTGCGGGGAAACAGCCTCGCACAGGAGCCAGGATGTTGTCAGTGAAGTGTTTTGTCAGTAACCTCAGTGGACTAATTATCCTGCAGCAGAATCATCAGGAGACAGACAGACGACAGACAGACAGACAGACAGACATACAGACAGTGTCAGACAGGAAACTCAACAACCTGCAGTTACTTAGACACAGAGACTCTCTGGACGTTCCTCGAAATTTCACTCTGGAGCTGCCGAGGAATTTGAATTGCAAACTAGAGCAGCACTGCAGCTGGTCAGTGAACGCCACATCCAGCACGCACTGCAGCCGGTCAGTAAACGCCACATCCAGAGCTCATTAACTGCAGATGAACACGTTTTAATTAAATAACACATCAACATGTCTGTTGTTAAATGTAGAATATTTCTGCCACTAGGGGCTCTCTCACATCAGAACAATAACAA